GCGGCCACCACCAGGTGCCGAGGCCACCGCCAGGCAACGTCCCCCGGTGCTTCTCACTGAAGTGGAGGACCCGGCTCTCCCCTCACTTAGCACAAAGTACAGTCAAAACTAGTCACCAGGACGCGTGCTCTCGGAAGGCGATAACCACCCCACCCCGCCAGGGAGACCGCGGGTCCTGGAGGGACCACAGTCCACGCAGTTCTATCTAAAGCACAAACGCGTGCACAGGACCTAACCAGACGAATAGTGTAACTTGAATCTTAAATTTTCACGGAAGGAGGGGTTGTTAGGGAGAAAAATGTCTAAAAATGATCCCCGGAGCTGGGCGCCACGGTGCAGGCCTGTCATCCCAGCAGCTCGGGAGGCTGAGGCAGGAGGATCGTGGGTTCAAAGCCAGCCTCAGCAACAGCGAGGCACTCAGCAACTCAGTGAGACGCCGTCTCTCAATAAAATACAGAATAGAGCTGGGGGCATGGCTCAGTGGTTGAGGGCCCCAGTTCAATCCCTGGAGAAGGCTGGCAGTAATGAAAAACAGGTTGAGAAACAGGAAATTTGGAACCATTTTAATTTCTTAAATTATTTTAAAACCAAATCCAAAAATGCAATTTGATTTGTTGTTATGAGATTTGGCAGACCTTCCGTTCCTCTGTGGTCACTCTCGAGGTGTCTACTCCTCGCCCCAGTTTCTGTATTCTCTGGACGTGGGGCGCCCTGTGGTGTGGGGCGGGTCTGCAGGGCACAGCAGCCTGTGCTCGGCCATCGCTGCCTTGTGGTCTGTCTGGATTGATCCTCGCTCCTCACGGGCCTGCTCTCCTGCTAGTTGTCTGTCTCCTCTCCGGATGTCAGGCGCCACCCCATATCTAGGACAGTGGTGACACTGGGGACTCACCAGGAACACGTGGCCGTTGGCGGAGGGAGGGAATGAGTGTCTCCTTCGGAGTGTTTTACTGAGCCAGGGGCCGAAAGTCACGTTTACCTGAAACTCGGGAAAGTTCATCAACCAGGTCAGGTTCTCCGTCACAACAGGCTCAAAACGTCCCTGATGTCCATCTGCTGTAGCCCAGCGGACGGTCAGCAGAGAAGGCCCGGGCCTGGCAGGGTTCCCAGTCTGGGCAGCTCCCCACCCAGCTGGCCCCTCTCCGTCCTCTGGAGGGGGGTCTGGCTGTCATTGCCTCCAGGAAGCCTTCCCTGATCCCACCTCTTCCCCAGTCAGGACCTTGTTTGTGCCCTGAAACTCCCTGGGAAAACGGTCCCCAAGAGCCTCGGCTTCCTCCCAGCACATTGCAGTACAGGGGTCGGTTCGCTGAGCGGTGCGCCTGTGGAACGGTGGCGGTCCTGGGGACAGTTACAAGGCACGGCGGAAACTTCCTACGATTTGGCAGCAAACTGGAGCCGAGGAGCCACCATATGGGGGTGGCCAGGCGAGCCCACAGCGGGGAGCCGTCCTGCAGGACTTACCACCATGTTTTGACTCCTTACATTTGTGTAAATCAACTTCCTGYCTGCTTCAAGAACTTCCCGGGAGGCCAGCTTCTCCCCATCGTTCTCCCTGGAGGACGCCTGGCAGCTCCCTCACCCTGAAGGACATTTCCTCTGGCTGTAGGACCCGGGTTGATGGCTCTCTTCTGTAAGCTGGGGAGAAGCCTGCGCCCCTTCCTTCCAGCCTCCGTGGGCCAGGAGCGGAGCCGCTGTCGTTGGGATGGCCTTGCCCTGGGCCGCACGGTGTTCACTGGAATCAACGGAGAAGAAACGGTGGACCCCACCCTCACGGGTGACCGGCTCTAAGACCTTGGCAAGTCCTATTCCGCAGCCCTCCTTTCTCTGAATAGAACTGGGGCTGGTGACTGTGCCCTCCCGGGGTGGGTGTGACAGTGAAGTGGCACGTGGTGCGAACGCCTGGTTCAGGGCTCGTGCAGATGGCGCTCGGCAGTCCCAGCTGAATGCGGAAGGGACTCGTGGCCCGATGCCCCGTGGGACTCGTGCTTCTGTGTGCTGCCGAGGAGAGGCAGGAGGCCGGCTCCCGCCCGCTCTGCTACCGAGGCTCTGAGTCACAGCCCGGGCCACTTGCCTTCCCTTGGGGGCCTTCCCGTGTGGATGAGCGGGTCTGGCAGCGACTCCTGGTTCCCAGCCCTGCTGGGCATGGGACCTCTCCAGACAGGTGCCGCACGGCTGGGCTTGCTTCCTTGGGAGATGCTAATGCAGAGCAGGTTGAGTCCTTCTGTCCCATGTGATCTGTCACCCTGGACATTCCTGGAGGTGTCCACGGCTCCCCACTGTCTGTCCTCTGCCTGCTCCTCTGCCGTCCCTGGGAAGACCCCTGGTGTCCATTCCAGCCACCACAGAAAAAAGAGCCCAAGGCTCTGGAAACTTCTTACATGAAGGGGTAAGAGGTGGGCATTTAAGTGCCCGTCGTCCCCTGCCCACCAGCTTGTGGGCAGGCTCAGGAAGGCCCGGCCAGCTGGGCTCACATCAAAGATTCCCTGAGGTTGGATCATGGACCTCAACGTAAGAGCTACCACTGTAAAAAGAGACTTGAAAAAGCTGAGAACTTAGAAACTCCTGTTGTTCAAAAGACATTGTTAAAAGCTGGAAAAGATCAACCGCAGGCTAGGAGATGACTCTATGGCTCATATCTAAGGAACAACTTGACTCCAGAATATGTAAAGAATTCATATAACTCATAAGAGGACAAGTCTGACTTTTTAAAAAATGGACAAAAGGCTTTTTTAAGTGGAATCTCACTGTGTGGCCCAGGCTAGTCTCAGACTTGGGGACTGAGTTCCGCCTCAGCCTCCCAAAACCTGGGATCACAGGTATGCCCCGCTGGGCCCAGCTAGGTGAAAGCTGTGAGTGGACATCTCAYTGAGAGGCTAATGAGCACGTGGAGATCATCCAACATCATCAGTCGTTAGAGAAATGCTACTTACGGTCACCATGAGATACCACTGGGCACCCACTGAAATGGCTCCAACCAAACAGAGGGAATACAGAGGCTGGAGACCCTGGAAAGGAGAACCCTGGAGCCTGGGTAGTAGGGCCGCAAGATGACACAGACACCCTGGGAAACAATGTGCCACTTATTTCAATGTCCAACATACACCTACCACATAACTCCACAGTCCACTCACACACACACACACMCCCACATGCACACTCACACACACACCCAGCCTGGTACACAGATGTTTATCGTTGCGTCATCCATTGCAGTTAAGCATTGGACGTTGTGCGCATGCGCCACGGAAAACTATTCAGCGATAAAAAAAAGAGTGAACCTCAGATACTGGCTGTAACATGGATGAGAACTAAGCCCCCGCTGGGTGAATGGTGCAGACATGTATCCTACCATCACACTTACATGAACTTCCAGAAAGTTCTTTATAGAATCAGAAACACTTCTGCGGCAGCTTGATGCTGGGGCTGGGGACTAGCTGTGAACAGGCAGAGGGGAGCTTTGGGGTAACAGATGCTTTGAAACTGGATCATGGAGACAATTCTACCAAGGTGCTTCAAAGGTCATCGAACAGACACAGTGGAGGGATTTTACAGTGTATAAATTAGACCCTAATAAGTTTTAAAATGCGACAGAGGCCATGTGTAGAATGCTGAGAGCAGACCCCAGCCACCCTGCCTGGGAACCTCTCCCAGCTGCTGTCCCCTCACCTGTGTGGCCTTGGTCAGGCACTGGGCCTTTCTCTGTCTCTCTTTCCCCCCACAAAGAGCTCAGCGCGGTGCCTGACACACAGGTCACTGCTGGGTCACTCCCTTCTCGCTGCAGGCTCCTGCCCCATCAGCCCTTTTCCCATTTCTCTGCTCTTCCAAGTTAATGCCCACCTACCACAGGGCCTTTGCGTTCAGTGCTTATGAATATTCTTCCTCCTGAGATATTTCCATTCCTGGCCTCTGATCAATCATGTCTCAGCTCAAATGTCACCTCAGATTCTCCTTCCCTGTCCATCCGGGCTTAAATACTACCCCACTCGTGAATCCTTCTACTTATCCACTGAAGAGCACTTTCTAGTAGTGATGGTACATTTTATTCCCATTTCATAGATGGGGAAACTAAAGCTCAGAGAGGTAACGTCATTTTATTTATTTATTCAGGACAAAATTATCACCACCTCACACCCATGGAGATGGCTACTCTAAAAATGATAATAAATAAATTTTGGTAAAGATGAGGAACTGGAACCTCGTGCACTGGTGGTGGGAACGTGGAGTGGGACAGTCTATGGAAGACAAAATCAAAAGCAGACCTACCCTAGACCCAGCAATTGCATTCCTGGGTATATATTCCAAAGAATTGAAGGTAGGGTCTCCAAGAGACACCTGTACACCATGCTCACAGCTGCGTTAGCCAAGGGCAAAAGTTGGAAATGACGCAAATGTCCATCGACAGATGATTCGATAAGTGAACTATGGTCTATGTGCTCGATGGAATGTTCTTCAGCCTGAAAAGAGAAGGAAATCTAACACAGGCCGCATCATTGGATGAGCTTTGAAGACACTGTGCAGAGTGGAATGAGCCCGTCATGAACACGGTGGGGTCCCCCTGGACGAGGTTCCTGGCCGAGACTGACAGTCAGGAAGCAGCATGGCCGGGGTGAGGAGCTGTTCAGTGCAGAACAAGTTGGAAAAGGTCCTAGAGACGGACACCAGGATCGCAGGTGTCTATCATGCCGCCCAGCTGCACACTTTAAAACGGCTGAGATGGTGAATATTGGGTCATTTGACCACAATTTCTAAAATAAATAACTTATAAGAAGACAAACCTCGAGGCTCAAGGGAATCGGTGTCGTGTGCAGTGTCTCATTTCTGTCCTCCTGCAGAAGGACATGATTTGTCTTGCCCACTTTTGAGGTTCAGAGAGATTTGGTAATGGAGGCTCTGATCCTGCCCCAGCCTCCGACCTCCAAGACCCACCTGGCCACCACGTCCTTCTCCTCCACCTCTCTCTCTGATCATGAGAAGCCTAATCTGTACCCCGTCTCCTCCTGCAGGTACGGCCGGCCTCTACCAAGGAACAAACGGACTGACCAACGCAGCGGGATTCGGGGTGCACCAGGTCAGTGCGGCCCACACGGCTATTTTCTCAGTTTCCCCTAAATCAGGGAGCTCAGACAGCCCACCTCACATGGTGTCCACCAGAACTCCCTCCTCTGAGCCCCACAGGGGCCGATTGTGCGAGAGGCCCCTGGAAAGATCTGTTTGAAGACTTCCAGGATATCCTGGGGGTGAATGTTCACTCTTGCCCTGTCCCCACCCCCCACACACCTGCTGCATCTATGAGTGAGGGGCAGGTGTTTCTCACCAGGCCGCGGCCTCTCAGAGGGGCGGCATAGCCTGCTCACCTCTGCATCCCCGAAGCTGAAAGCCCTGCACATAGTAGGTGCTTCAAAAATCCTGGTTAAACCAACTGCCATCGAGAGCCTCGGGTTCACTTAGGGAGTTCCTAGGGAATTCTCCTGTCCAAGGGCTCAGAGCTGGCGCCGTGGGCACTCCCCGCCTGTGGTCGCCAGTTATCTCTAGACAAGAGACGAGGTGCTCTCAGACTAGTTCTAGAACTGTGCCGGGGCAGATGGCTCTGGACCCTGAGGAAGGCACCATTTCTTCTTCTGTGAGATGAAAGAGCTGAGTCACTGAGACGTGGAAGACACCAACATGGCTCCACGTGTGCTTGTGAATTTCCAGTGAACTCTGTATAGAGATAAGGCACTCGTCAGTGCCACAGAACTTCTGTGGGTGTGATGAGGGACCCAGGCATTTGTCCCTGTCACCATAAGACCTTATCAAGAACACAGAGTCCCTGGAAGTTCTGACTCAGTAGATCTGGGCTGGGGCCCAGGACGCTGACCTCCCTGTGAGTCCCCTGCAGGGAGGAGACTGGTCATGGTGACGGTGGGACCCACCGTGTGAAACGGTGACTCTGGGGGGGTTGGACAGTCGGCCCTGCTTAAATGAACTTGACCAAAGGGGACTGACACATCGACTTGGTCTCTGTGACGCCCTCAAAGAACATTCTGGATCCCTCATGCTTCCAGGGGCTGTGACATTGCACCTTTCTCTCAGGAGCCCCGGTGTGACCTGGGCTCCTGGGTACACGTGGCCTTCGCTGTTCAGTCACCTCACTGAGTTCCAGTGCTGGGGACGCCACAGTGGCCAACTTGACTGTCGAGGCCACAGCTTATCCTTCAGGGTCACCTCCAACTGCCCATCCCTGCGTCCCTGTCCCTGGGAGTTTTTCTAGTGCACAGGGCAGGGAGCAAGTGCCGGGGTGTCACCCCTGGAGCAGCGCTCAAAGGGGGTGAAGTGGGGTGTAACCCCCAGCCCAGGCCCCAGGGATGCCCAGCACGGGTCAGCTCAGCGCCCACTGAGGAAGCCCACCAGGCTGCCCTCCCTTCCCTTCTCGCTCCCCCTCCCCTCCTGGGGTCTCCTTCCCCTTCCAGATGGGCTACTTGTACTGGTCCTTGTCCTAGTGTCGCTCCTGGGAAACCGCAGTGGAGACACCCCCACCCTTGGAGAGCGTCCACCCTCGTGGGGGACAGTTCTGGGCCCGGGGCGCAGCCCAGGGGCCCCCTGCTCACGCCGGGCTTTTCTGTCTCCCCAGGACTATCCTTCCTACCCCAGCTTCCCCCAGAGCCAGTACCCCCAGTATTACAGCTCGTCCTACAGCGCTCCCTACGTCCCGGCCGGCAGCCTCTGCCCTTCGCCCCTGTCCACGTCCGCCTACGTCCTCCAGGACGCACCGCACAGCGTCCCCAACCAGAGTTCTGAGTCCCTGGCCGGTACGTACGTCGTCACCTTCGGGGGTCCCTGTGACTGTGTGGTCTGAGCTCCTACATGAAGGAGGGGCCCAAATGTGGTTTAGTTGTCATGAACTGGTCACCCCAGGGCTAAATCCACCCCCAGATGTGTCGTGGCGTGTGTGTGTGTGTGTGTGTGTGTGTGTGTGTGTGTGTGTGTGTCTGTGTGCGCGCTTAATTGTATCCAAGTCCAAAAGTAGAACTGTTTACCTAAAGATCCTCACTTCTGGCTTCTTTTGAAAGCTCTGCTGGCCTAGCCAGAGTCCCAAGGAGCAGTGCTTGGTTGAAGCAGCCCGCCTGGTGCATTCAGGAAGGGTGCGAGGATTCCAGCGCGGGCAGCTCACCTGAGATGCCTTACCCACCTGGCCCACGCCGGCCTCGGAGCCTCAACTGGGCTCCAAAAGGCAGGGAGACTGGTATCGCGACCATCCATTTTGAGCCAAGGACATACCTGTTGGTCTTCTCTGTTTGTAGACTTATTACCAAGTATTCATGAAGCACCTGCTGATTTTCCAGGCAGCGTAGACTTGGTCTTTGTAGAAAGTAATCAAATAATCACACAAATACATATTTAACCACATGATAGGAAAACCGTGGCTCTCACAAAAGCAGGTTTCCTATTACCTAGGCCCCTTTCCCAGATAAAAACGATGACCATCAGAGTGGGGAGCGACTGGCTAGTGCTTGGTGGCCCTGAGATTTGAACCCAGGCCTCTTGGTTCCGAGTCGGGGCTCATGCTGTTCACTGGCCCTGCGTGTTGAGACCGTGTGACCCGCAGCCCAAGAGAGAGCAGAGGCTCAGAGGCGCAGAGCCTTCAAGGGTGCTTCTGTCTCCAAGAGGGGCTTGGGCACCGACTGCAGGGTCTCGGGACAGCAGAACACTTCCCGCAGTCCCCAGGCATTCTCCCCCAGGGGCACAACAGTCTTAGGCCACCTCTCTGTTAGCCAGGCTCTGCAAGCAGGCTCCTCCCACCCCACGGGGCTCAGTCCTGCCTGCAATCACAGCTGTCCCTGGAAAGCTCCCGCTGGTCGGGACTCGGTCACCTGTCCATCCCCAGACCCATCTCTGTGGCATGGAGCTGCACCCCGGGTCTCACGTCCACAGCTGGAGCTACAGTTGGGGTCAGCTGAGATGAGGGAAAGGGGGTTTCCAAAGAAACCCAGAGCTCATAAGCAGAGGACGCACTGGGCACCCAAGAACAACTGCTCCCGGCAGCCGATCGCCGGTGAAGAGTGTGCGGCAGAGTCCATGTCCTGGCCCTTGGTGATCGCAGAGCCTGGTGGGCAGACTCGCAGCCGCTCAGCAGCCTGCGGAGTCTTGCATTCATTCCCCGGACCTGCTCCACGCGCGTCTTCCCGCTACGAGGTGTGCTGGGCTCAGCGTTAAGTAACGTGGCAGCAGTAAAGCCCGAATGAAGATCCCTTGTCTTCTTCTCTGAAAGCCACCAAYGTCCTGGGGCTTCGTGGAAGCCAACCTAGCATGAGGGCATGTGGACCTTCGTGGATGCGGATTCGGGGGAAAGAACAGAAAAGGAAGAGCTGGGGTGCTCAGTGTGGCTATGGATTCAACCCAGAACGTCCCGCCCACAGAGGGCAGAGTCTGTGGGGGGGGGGTGCTTACCCCTGCCTTGTTGACAGACGCCGACAAGGTGGACAAGCATTTTTAAGTCAATTTTTAAGGACGTGTGAGGCTTGAGCATTGATTTGGTCACTGTGTTCTCGCTCCAGAGTCCATGCATATGCATAGAACCTATTTACAACTTGTAATTTGTTTTCTTTGGAGAGCAGGAAGTGTGACAAACTCCTTCTTCATAATCTTGGATTATCTTCAGACACTTTGAATGTGACCTCTGCCATATGGTTTCAACCATGGAAAAAAAACTGATGAGAAATTAGGGAAGAGAGGAAGGACAGAAGGAAGAATTAATTAGATGCTACTATGTCTCCATGATCCCAGGGCAAAGAGGACTCCAAAGACTCCCTTTCCAAGAATTTGGGTCATGCCACAAGGTCATCTTTGTTCCCCGTCAGAAGTAAGCATAAGTGACATTGTGTCTCTCTGAATCCCTCTTTTTGTGTTCCCCTGTCCTTCACTGATCCTTCGGTCTAAGGTCCAACAATAAGTGGGTGAGTTGGCTTTCACCGTGGGTCTAACAAACCCGCATAAACCCTGATGACATCCACAGTGGTCAGCTCCGACTCAGGTCCCTGGGCCTCCTCTCGCCAGTGTGCACATGAGGGAAGGGCATGTGAGTGGGCACGCTTTCCACAAAAACCAGCTGGGAACTATCCAGGGTCCCCTCCAAGCTCCAGAGGCTGGCGGTTCACACGCTGCCACCAACAGACCCACCTGCCGATGCTGTTTTGACGCTCCCACCCCCTCCTGCCTCAGGACACTCTGTGCTGACCCCAGTCAGCAGCTGCATCACTGCCCACAGTGGACACAGCTGCTTAGAAGCTGACTAGCACCCTTCCACATGACCCCCGGGCCAAAGGGAGATTCAAAAGTACTTGAACCAAATGAAAATTAAAACACAACTTCTCCGGATTTAGAGAATACCATTAAAACTGTACGTACGGGGACGTTTGTAGCGCAGAGGGTCTAAATCAGAAAAGAAGAAAGGTCACAGCAGGACCTAGTCTTCCACCAGAGGAAACATTGAAGATCAGAATGAAATCCACGAGCTCCAAACCAGAAAATGTCAGAAAAAAGGAAGGCACAAAGTCACCCATGAAATGCCAGGTGTGACGTCCCAAGAGTCGGCCAAGGACAGCCATGCGATGTGACTGTCATGCCCCAGAATCTGACAACCTCCGTGAAATGGACACGTTCCTCACACGACAAAACTGACCGAGCTGGAGAGGGACTGAGGCAGACTGACTTCCGAGTGTGTGTGGCCACATCAAGTGAACCCGGCTCTCCTGGGTGGCAGTGAGGCTCCAATAGAACAAAGAAAGAAGAAGAAACTACCAGAACTCACACAGGAGGAGGTCACCTAAATAGGCCTGTGTCTGTCAAATAAATTGACTTTTTGTTGTTTTTTAAAAAATCATAAAGAAGAGCTGAGCATGTGACTCCGTGGCAAAGCATCGGCCTATCATCCTGGAGGCCCGGGTTCAATCCCCAGGACAGAAATAAAGTAAAATAGATCATAAAGAAGATGCCAAGTCCAGATGCCTTCACTGATTCTATCAAAGAAATATACTTTCTACACAAATTCTTCAAGAAAATGGAAAAGGAAGCGTGATTCTCAACACATTCTGTGGTCAGTCCTATCCTGATATCAAAATCAGACAAAGGAGAAAACTACTCACCATCAGGCCTCAGAAACTCAGGTATAAAATTTCTGAACAAGATGTTAGCAAATTGAGTCCAACACTGTATTTTAGAAGGGTGGTGTCTGTCCCAAGGCTGCAGAGTTGGTCTGAAATTTGAGATTCGATCAGTATAATTTGCAACATTCACAAACTGAGGGGCAAAAGATCATTTCAATAAATGCAGAAAACACATTGGATAGAACCCATCATCTATTTCAAAAACACCAAACCAGAAGGAGGGTATAAAAAAAGCCTTTTTAAATCAGAAGGCACGTGTGATGGCCCGAACGTTTGTCCCCATCAGCACCACCACTGAAATCCGTACCCTGCAGTTCTAGTCATCCATATGGTGGCGTTGAGAGGGGGGGCTTTGGGGGGTGCTAAGGTCATGAAGGTGGGCCCTTATAAATGAGGTTAGTGCCCTGACAAGAACCTTAGAAGAGGAGATGAGAGCCAGGTGAGGTGGCACACGCCTGTAATCCCAGCATCGGAGGAGGCTGAGACACGAGGATCACAGGTTCAAAGCCAGCCTCAGCAACTTAGTGAGGCTTTAAGCAACTTAGCAAGACCCTGCTCAAAAGGGCTGGGGGTGTGGCTCGGGGGTTAAGCACCTTTTGGTTCAATCCCTGGTGAGAGAGAGAGAGAGAGAGAGAGAGAATACTTTTCTGTCTCTCTGAGAGAGATGAAATACCAAGAGAGAAAAGATATCCTCTCTCTCTCTCTCTCTCTCTCTCTCTCTCTCTCTCTCCCTCTTTCTCCCCAGTGTGAGGATGCAGCAAGAAAGCCCTCGAGAAGTAAGCGGTCACCAGGAAATCAATACATTGGCCTCTGGGTCCTGGACTTCTAGCTTCCGGAACTGTGGGAGATCCATTTCTATTGTTGAAGCCGCCTACTCATGGCATTTTTTGTCACAGCAGACTAAACTTATAGTCCTGGACAGCTAAAGCTACCCACAGCTACCCCTAAAATCAAAACAAGATGAAGCTGTCCCCCTTACCACTTCCTCTAAACACTATACAAAAGTTCTAGCTAGTCCAATAAGACGAGAAAAGTCACTAAAGGCATCTGTACTTAAACAGAATGCCACACGATCTGACTTGTATGTGGAGCCTAAAGCGTGCAACTCAGAAGCACCTCACACTGATGGTGGCCAGGGACTAGGCATCAGGGGGCGGGATGGTACAATGCTCCGTCCGACAGGAGGAATAAGTTCAGCCGTTGTGCGTTCTGGTGACAACAGTTACCGACAATGAACTGTTCCAAATGGAGGCAGAAATAACCCCCACATGAATCCACACAACTGATTTTGTGTGTCTGCGGTGCTGGGGATTGAACCCAGGGCCTTGTGCACGAAGGCCAGCACTCTACCAACTGAGCTATGCCCCACACAACTGATTTTTGACCACAAGCTGATTTTTTAAACAAGGCAATTCAATGGAGAAAGTGTAATCTTCTCAATAGAAGATGCCAAACAGACATCTATATCCAGAAAACCTGGACTTCAGCCTACACTCCACAAGACAACAAAGTAATGGCAAGTAGATCATAGGCTTAAATAAAAACTATCCATTTTGATAAGAAACATAGGAGGAAATCTTTGTGACTTGAGTTACAAAGGTTTCTCCTGCATAACACCAAAAGCTTGATGCAAAAAGAAAAAAAATGTGTATATATATATATATATATATATATATATAGATAAAGTTCAATTGAACTTCACAAAAATTTCCAACAGAAGGATGAAAAGACAAACTGTAGTCTTGGAGAAAATAATTTACCTGATAAAGTATCTACATCCAGAATGAATATGGAACTCTCAGAATCCAACAATAGGGAAACTCTTCAGTAAACAAAGGGACAAAAGATTTGAATATACTCTTCACCAAAGATCCAGGAACGGGGAAAAAAATCACATGAGCGAGATGCTGAGTGTCGTGAGTCATTAGAGAGAGGCACATTAGACCTTATGATAATAAGACACGAGAGACTGGCATTGCAAAGGCTGGCAGTGGGGTGGAGCAGCAGGAGCAGGCGAAGTGACCCAGGCACTGCGCCAAACAGCCCGGCGCTGTCTCACAAGGTCAAACATGGCTTTCCATGTGACCCAGCAGTCACGAACTCCTAAAAGAAAAACAGCTTCTGTCCACACAAAGACTGATCTGCAGACATTCATAGCAGCTTTATTGCCACCAGAAACTGGAATCAACCCAAAGGTGCATCCACAGTGAATGGATGAACCAACTGTGTGTAGTCACAGAGGGACGGGCTGCTGACGTGAGCTGCTGACCCACCGTAGCAACGGCCAAAGAACGCACCTGTGCTGTGGGATTCCACTTGTTCAAAACCCTAGTGGACGAGTCTAATGGAGAGTGGAGGAAACAGATCAGAGGTTTCATGGGGAGCAGGGCCAGAGGCAGGATCACAAGGAGACTCAGATTGCTCCCCAAATCTAAAACTATTTGAGGTCCAGAGCTCCATTGGGTGAGAAGTGCTTACCCTATAAAGTCTATGCAAATATTGGAAAACCTGAAAATTTCCCAAATCTGAAACACTTCTCATCCCAAGCATTTCAAATATGGAGTGCTCCACCTGTACATTAAAAGGGAGAAGGAAAGAGTTAAGTGACCCCAGGAAGGAGGATGAATTGCTCTATCTCGAGGACTGCTGACTCTGATCTTGAACTTGGGCTCTTCGATGTCAAGTATGTGGAAGGTTGGAGAAAGGGCTATATCTCCCCCAGCCCCGGCACCCCTGCTAATCTGGCTTCACACACTTTATTCTACACCTTCCGTAAGGCAGCTGGCATTTATCCCTTGAAAAATAATGTTTTCCTGGATTTTAATGGGGATAACTGCTATTTTCTAAACCCCAATACCTTAAATGACCAAGTGACTCAGGATGGACCTTATGACATTGTTCTTGGGCCTCTGTGAGTCTAGAAGAAATTCTTCCTCCTGAACAAAGGGTTGCTAGCTCAGGGTTTGGGAATCTCTGATGCTATGTCCTAAAATGCCCGGGTGTTGGAGAACACCGGGTTGTCTTGACGATCCAAGATCCCATCCTTTCTATTATGTCCTTAGTCTGCTAAGTTTTTTAGACATTAAATAAACAATGCCGAGTCCCTTGGGTTTGGGGGGAAAACAGTCCTTCCAGGGTAGGAAAAAGAGTCAGTCCGTTGCCAAGTGCTTTCAGACGAAGGCATTTCCCCCAGATGGTCCAAGAACTGGCCATGGCGGCAGGAGAGATGGGTCTGCAGGATGCATTTGGGAGCTAACAAGCAACAGTGAGGGAAGAAAGTGGGAGGGCAGGTCCCCCGAGGCTCCATGCAGGTTCGAGATTCTGTCACTSTTTCCTGACAAAGACAGGCCTCAGTTCTCACTGACTTGCAGGCTGCAGCAGGCAASTTGGAGCACCCCGCTAAGCCTGGGCCCCTCATTACTTAAACCAAGATGGTGGGTGTAGCCAACAGCTTGCCTGGTCTGGGGCTATGGGACGACGGCCTCTCGGCGTGGCCACACCCTGAAGCCCACCCTGATGAGAGCCACAGGTCCCATCTGCTCTGACCCTTCTCGCTGACCTGTGTGGGCCTGTGGGCTGCGTCACGGGCCTTGCCTGGCCCGTCCTGGACGCTCCGCACAGACAATGTCACAGAGTTCTCAGGTCAGCAAACCTCAACAGGCAGAGCCTAAAGACTTGCTGTAACCGAGCCCCGGTCCAGACCCCCACAGGAGGACAGAGGGAGCTCTTCCCACCTGCCCCATCTACCTCTGGGGGCTGCCCCTCTATGATTTTTAACTGAAATGTTTGGACTTGTTTTTCCTGTTTCCTGTATGTCCATGGGTGATGACAGTCGTCCGTGATGGTGGGTGTGCTGCACATTCCCACAGCTCACAGTACAGCTTGGCAGGTCTCTCTCCTCCGCTGAACTTCCTCTGATTTCCATGAGATCCCCCCACTCTGTTCTTTTCTACCCTCTGGCTCTGGCATATGAGAGAGAACTTATGACCCTTGACCTTCTGAGTTTGGCTAATTTCACTTAACGTAATGTCTCAAATTCCATCCGTTTACCTACAGATGACACATTTCATTTTTTCTTCGTGGCTGAATAAAACTCCATCACACATATAGGCCACACGTCCATCCATCCATTGATGGACGCCCAGGCTGTTCCACTGGGCTGATGTGAATCACGCTGCTTTACGGCTACAGTATGCTGACCTCAATCCTTTTTTTTTAATATTTATTTTTAAATTTTTGGTGGACACAACATCTTTATTTATTTTTTATTTGTATGTGGTGCTGAGGATCAAACCCAGCGCTGCGCTCATGCCAGGCGAGCGCACTACCGCTTGAGCCACATCCCCAGCCCCGACCTCAATTCTTCTGGATAGATACTGAGGAGTGGTACAGCTGGGTCTCATGGTGGTCCATGCCTAGCGTTTTGAGGAATCTTCTGGGAGGACCATCTTTAAGGTTGATGTATTAGTCAGTTTGGGGTTTTTTTTTGTTTTGTTTTGTTTTTTTTGCTATCATGAAACCCCTGAGGCAGACTCACTTTACAAAGAAAAAGATTCTCTTGGCTCACAGTTCTGAGGTTCCAGGGCATGGGGCTGGCATAGCTCAGCTCTGGCGAGGAGCTCATGACTGATGGCATCACAAGCTGGGAAGTGTCTGCAGGAGGAAGAGGTCACCCCACCAGGCAGGACGTCAGTTCCTTCTGAGAGAGTGACCTCTCCACTTGACCTAAGGACCTCCCTCTAGGCCCCGCCTCCCCACTAAGCCCCGCCTCCCCACTAGGCCCCGCCTCTCAACACGGCCACCTTAGGGATTAAGCCCCTAACACAATGACCTTTGTGGGGACATTTAAACCAACCCAGACCACAGCAGTAGAAATCCTGGGTGCCCAGCTACCTACCAGGCGTCTTCTGGAGGCACAGAGCTGTCAACATAAAGCTGTTCACCATCAACAGAGCTCTGCCAGGGCCCCTCCCTCCCTTCCTCCAGATGGCTGGTCAGGTGTCCCCTCGCCCGCGAGGCCTTCTGTGGTGAGCCCTGTGTAATGGGCTGACCTCTCAGCAGCCCTGCCCAGCCCTGATTGATGGCTATGTCCCTCCTGACATTAGAATGACTTGTTTATCCAGGTGAGGTCTCTCTCCTCTCGAAGAACTTTTTATTTTCTTTCTTTTTTTTTTTTTGTATGTGTGTGTGTGTGTGTGTGTGGGTGGGTTGTGGTGCTGGGATGGCACCCAGGGCCTGTGTGTGCAAGGCAAGCACTCTACCAACTGAGCTCTGTCCCCAGCCCTCAGTGGAGTTTTTAAGTGCTAACCCCAGGTGCCAGGTGGCCCAGTGCCTGAGTCACAACTGGTTGTTGGATGAATGAAAGTTCGTGAGTGCTGTGAGCGGTTGACCGAGGAGGCTTGGGCCCCGCGTCTGGGCCCCCTGGGCTGCCCCGGGCTGCGGCTCTGCAGTTCCTCCCGCAGGTGTGCTGTTTCCTGAAAGCCACCTCCAGCAGCACTTCTGATCCACCCACCGCTCCCTGCCTTGCTCCAGGTGAATACAACACGCACAATGGACCCTCCACGCCGGCAAAAGAGGGGGACACAGACAGGCCACACCGGGCCTCCGAGGGGAAGCTCCGGGGACGGTCGAAGCGGAGCAGTGACCCCTCCCCGACAGGGGACAATGAGATTGAGGTAACCCAGAGGGCCTGAGTGTGACTGGTGTGATCTCCCTGTGGCCCCAGTGTTGGTGGACGGGAGGGGTGCAGAGTACTCTCCACGCGCAGGGGAAGAGGGGGTAGGTACTGCCCTTGGGGTTCACGAAGCTCAGTAAGAGAAAGAGCGGGCCATAGGGAGCACTGTTGAGGCCCAGGGCTGAGCCCTGCTTCTCAAAGGGACCACCAGACCCTCCAAAGTCTCCAGTGCCTTAGGTCCAGGGTAGGCCCAGGCCTTTACGTGTCTAGCAAGTCTCCAGGGGATGCTGACCTGCCCTGGATTTGGGGGGGGGCACGCCCTGAGAGCCCCTGGTAAAGAAGATGATGGGCAGGAGCCTTGGCCTGGGTAGGGGGTTCTTGCCCTGGTGACCCGGCAGAGTCCTCAGGATGTAAAATCCCAATGCCTGGCCCCATCCCGGAACACGTCGAGGTCCTCTGGAGCAGTTTTCAAAGTCGTACTAACCACCAGGACGGGGGTCAAATGGGGCTGCTGCGTTCCTGATCTCAGCCTGGGTGCCCCTCACAATCACTGCAGAGCTCCGAGAAACCCTTCCTTCTCAAGCTGTACCCCTCCTCCTGAGGGGGCACCTAGGCGTCTCCCAGAGGGGTCTGATGTGCAGCCTGGGCTGAGAACTGAAGGCCTAGGCCTGCTCCTACCATGTTAAAACCAGATGACTGTGGGTCACACTGAAATTCCCCTCCAAAAACAGTGTGCATGGGGAGAATCCTAGTGGGGACACAGGCCTAATGAATTCCAAAACGCAGACATAGGTGAGCATTATTGATCAAGGAAGGAATGAGCGAATCTGCAGGTTTGTGCATCTGTGCAAAAGGTGGCCGTCCGTCGGCTGGAGTGCGCCCTGGCACCCGAGTGGTATTGGCGAAGCCTGGGTCAGCGCCAGCAGTTCAGTTGCACGGTCTTCAACTCCCATTCGTACCCTGTGCACTTGACGCAGCAGCTACCAAGCTCGGCCACAAACTCAAACACACTAAGAAATGCCGCCTCCACCAAGTCTCCATCCCACCAGGGAAATTCCATCTCGTCACTGGGGCCTCCCTCCCCCAAGAATCGTGTGAGATCCCAGGGTTCAAGTGGCCTCAGAAAACACAAGAACCTCCACTGTCCCGTGTGGCTTGGTCAGCRCCGCCTTCCTGGTGGGCCACGCCTGCAGGGGTCATCTGCAGTCTGGCCGCTGGCTGGAGTCTCCGGGCTGAATCGTGGGCGTGGAGATTCTTGTGGAGCCTAAGAACGTGGGAGCATCAGCTACGATCTTCGGTGGCAAGCCACAGAATCCAGCTCTGGTTACTTAAGGAAAAGGGACTTACTGGAAGGGACGGCCATCGACCACGCTGAGGAAGGAGGGGACCGAGGCCGAGCTGGGGAATCTAGGGAACTTTCCGGGTGCTCGCTCCACCCAGGAGCACCCGTTTTAGGCTCCAGTGCTGCTTCACCCAGTGTCAGAGTCAAGAGGACAGCATCCCATGGTCCCGGCTTGGGTCACGTGCTTGCCCCTTGATTGACATCTCCACCAAGACAGCCCACACTGGGGAAGGAAAACCCAGGTGCTCTTCTCCAAAGACCTGGGCTGGAGGCTGGGGGCCCAGAGCACAGACGCCGCATCTGAGGGACTTGGTATCAAGCCAGCATCCACCAGCACAGCTACGGCGGTTACTTACGGCAGGTGCTGGGCCGATGGTCCGAGAAGGTATCACATCACACTGTCCCCCACTATCAGCCAACCTCCTGCGGTATACCAGCCCTGGACCTGGCCGAGGGCTCTGCCTGTTCTTGCTTTTCCCGTCATTATTGTTGTTGAGATGGCGCCTCACCGTGCTGCCCCAGGCCCGCCTCAAACACACTGCTGGGCTCAGGCGACCCTCCTGCCTCAGACTCCAGAGTGCTGGGACTCCAAGATCAAGCACGGACCAGCTTCCCCTCGTTTTCAAAGCCACCCCCACCCCGCTTCCCAAATCAAGCAGGCTCTGCCCAGGCCTTCAGTGGGCTCAGGCCTTTGCAGAAGGCTGAGGGAGGTCATCAATGCATACTTTTATATTTCCTCCCCCCAAATACTGGGTCACCCAACATGGCTTCTGCTTTTGGTAGGGGACGTTGGGAGTGGAGAGACATTTTTCCATGAAACTGAGAAGGGTTGTGGCATGGAAGTCGGGGATTAGAGGTGATATTATTCTGGAAACATCTGCTTCTTGATTGCAGAGTAAGGACCACTGGGAGAGAACAGTCAGAAAGGTGTGAGGTGTGCTTCGCTTCTGGGCTTAATGTCAACGGGGAGGGCCGCCTGGGTCGCACCTCTTAAGTCTTCGGCGGTTCTGCTAATGACTGCAGCCCAAGAGAGAGAAATTATGTCGAAGTGGAAAGAAGGAAAATTCTGAGCGTGTATTAGCTAAAATCCTTTGGCTGCAGGTGCCAGAAACCAACTTGAGCTGGCTTAAGTGAAAAAGCAGAATTTCTTTTAAGGCTGCAGAGACCCTCTTAGAACTCAAGGCCAGAGGAGCAGCAGAATATTGCCAAGGCCAGGGGACAGGGCAGGGAGATGTGTATGCCTTCCCCTGCCACAAGCCACAGTGAATCAGCCAGAGTCCCCAGGAAGGGTGTCTTTTAGTGCCTGGACACGGTGCCTCAGCATGTCCCCCCAGGCCTCCCCTGGCCCCTCTCTGCTCTCAGCTGAAATCAGGTCCTGGGAAAATGCTGGGTCCTCTCTCACCCTCTGTCCTTCTCTCCCTGTGGACTGGCCATCTCTGTCCTTCAGATCACATGTCAAAACAGGCCCCCGGCCCCCAGAGACCTTGAATTTCTTTCTACACCCCAATTTTAAGTTTCCAAATAAAGATCTGACCCCTCCGGGGTCACGAACCCACTGAGGTCCAAATTGTGGCCCCTCAGGGACAGGGTCCCCTGCACAACGGCCACGGAGAGGGGACCCACTGAGACTCCAGGGCTGGACACGGAGGATGAGGTAGTGGGGGGAGGAGGACTTCTTCAGAGGGTTGGAATGGGTGGATGAACTTTTAAAATACTCCCTGATTTTAAAAACCTCCATAACTAAAATTTCTAAATTAAACTGATCCCCCCGTTTTTATTAAGAACCTCAGAGGGCCTCCTCAAAAACAGTGGCTTTTTTACCACGACCCGAATAAGAAACACACCCAGAATGTGACCCAGCACCTACAGGCACAGGCACGTGACCACACAGACACGCGACCCGCTGAACCAAAACAACTTACAGACAACACCCAACTCTACGGATGGCTTCAGAGACCCCTGTGTTAGAGGCTGAACATGATGATCTGACTTTTTCATTCTAGATGCTTCTTTGTACTTTTAAAGGCATGGCCAGTGCCTGGCGGAGATATGATTCTTGACCTCCAGAGAGTTTTCAAAGGTGGCCGCAGAGGCAGTCTGAGGAGATGTATTTGTTCTCCTCTCAACACAGAGATTTTAAAAAAAAGAAAAAAAAAGTCCTTTGTTCTTAAAAATCATCATCACCAGAAAAAAATGAGGAAAACCCAACAGTTTTAAAAACGAGGATAAATAAATAAACAAAAAGCAAAGTAATTTAAGAAACAGAAAGGAACTTAGAAAAATTCGATTGGTTTTCTTATAAAAATTCAAGGAGATTTTGGATCCATAAAATAAGAAGTAGAGGCTATTGGGAAGGAAATATTCAGAAAAAAAAAAAAGACAGTATTGGAAAATCTTTAAATGACTGTGAGAACGGTCAAAAAAGAAAGTTTAAGAATCTCCCAGAAGCCAAGTGTGGTGGTGCTTGCCTGAAATCCCAGTGACCTGGGAGGCTGAGGCAGGAGGATCACAAGTTCAAAGCCAGCCTCAGCAACTCAGCAAGACCCTAAGTCAAAACCAAGAGGGCTGGGGATGCGGCTCAGTGGTTAGGTATCCCTGGGTTCAATCCCCAGTACCAAAAGAAAAAGGAAAGAAATATCCCAAAGCATAGATCAAAAAGACAACATTATAGAAAATCTTCTTTAAAGGAAGAACATCATCAATCCTAAAACGTTTAATCTGACTATCAGAAATTCCAGAAAGGGAGAACGGCTGAAAATTTAAAAAAAAAAAAAAAAAAAAAGGTGGGAAGAATTATTTGAAGATAGAAGAAAATAGTTTTCAGAGCTGTGGAAAACGCAGGTCATTGGATTACAATGTTCAAGTGCTAAACGGTATAAATGAGAAAGGATCACACCTAGGTAGAATAACGCCTTATGAAATTTGAGAGTATCAAGGAAAAAAAACAAAATATCCTTATAAACCCTAGAGGAAAACAAAAGTCAAATCTATAAGGAATCAGAGACACATGAGATCTTCTATCAATGACCATGGATACGAGGAAATAACGAATGATTCCTTCAGAGGTCTAGAAGATATGGTTTTCAAATTAGAATTCTGTACCCAGAGAAACTCTAGAGCAAATAAGGACAGCAGCTATGTAGGAATTCAGAAAGATTTCTTTCCATGAATCCACTCAGAAACAGCGACTTAAGGATGTACTCAAGTAAAACAAGGAAGAAAACCAAGTAAGAGAGAGACTTGGAATCCAAGTAACAGTGGCTCCCACCCCCAAATGCACTAGAGGGAGGTCTCAGAGCATTCGTTCTGTAGAAAGTCCATATAAATCCTGCTCACCTGGGAGAGTTCTATCAGAGGATGCACATCTCTGATAGAGAAATCTGATACTGATGCTGAGGATGCTCATCTTTGATATAGAGGGTGTGACTAAATCAGACATTATAATGAAGGCATTTATAGAAAACGAGAAAAAAATAAAAGCAATGAATAAACTCGAACAAAAACAAAAAGTCCTACTAGACAAGTTGATTCATAAAACTGGCATATGGTATATTATCTCAATCAGGAAGGAATTCAAGAGAAGAGAATACATACGACCTTGACAGTAAGAACATTGTCATTAGAGTGGACCTGGGGCTATGAGACTGGACATATATAGAGAGAGGGAAAAAATTGACATCTAGAACGTTTTTGGTTCTGCGGTAAAGAATGATCATAAGACGCAAATGTCATTTACTGGTCACCAACTTTTAGAATCAACATGCAGACAGAGTACAAAAGACTTGATTTTCGATATAAAACCAAACACACACCCATTCATCCCCATTGACAATGTAGAAGTAAAGCTAGAGATGAAGATGTCGGAGAGAAGGGGTGACAGGAGAAATAGCATATCGGGTCTCCTGTTTGACTGCCAGTCAGGAGACACCACCACACTGTCGGCAGATCCACGAGTAAAGACAGGTGGCCGCGAGCCCAGGAGAGCAGAATGGTCAGGAACGGTGCGACTCAGGGTGGGCAGAAGTGGAGGTGGTCCTGTCTCAGGTTGTCCCGTGAATGCTGTGGTTTCCTTGCTGGGCTGGCCTGAGCCCTCCTTCCCCGAGTCCTTGTGTGGAGGCAGGGACAGGCTCCCTGGTTCTGGCATCTGCTGGGTGGACAGGAGCCGGGAGGTGGGCCTGCATGACACATTGACGCAGCTGAGGTCGGACGGGGACCCACGACCCGTCCAGAGTCCCCTGCTTTGTGACTGAAGGGTGGAGTGTTTCCAGACTTGTCCTCCAGGGGAATTAACGTCTGCAGACGTGACGTCAGAGGCTGACGAGTCCCTCTGTCCCCACTGTCTTCCTCTCTGTCCCCCCAGCGCGTGTTCGTGTGGGACCTGGATGAGACCATAATTATTTTCCACTCCTTACTCACGGGGACCTTCGCCTCCAGATACGGGAAGGTAAGAATCCGCTTTCTCTCTCTTTTCTTTAACCACGTGGCTTTCCGTGCAGCCAGTTTTCCCGGGAATTGTCGGGGCAGTTCCTCCGGTGGCTTCTCCAACAAGAGCCACCTGTTCAGATCTGCCCAGGTTTGAAACCTCCCGAGCATTTTCCTTTGACKCGTGAGAATGTAATTAGAATTAGATTCTGTACCCAGAGAACTCTGTGCCCCTTCTCTTGTCCCCCAAGCCTTTTCTCCCCGTATACCAAGTGACTGGCCTCTGCATGGTAGCATGCAAGCTGTGAGCTTCAGCTGACCCTTCCTAAAAGGGCAGGGACACCCTGTGGCCAGAGGCAGTTGTCTCTGCTAGAAAACCAGCCAAGGTTCTCCCTGCTGCTGAGCCGAGAGTCTCAGAGTCTTCAGAGACGGGGGAGAGGCCTGGCCACCCCGGCATGGACTTAGCRACAGCTTCGCCAGTGTATCATGGACAGATTACGTGGGGGACCGTCCGGGTAGAATTCTGGGCAAATGTGCCGGTTGGTGGTGGTGGGTGAAGAGACCTGAGACCCCTGAATGATGCAGGAATCTCCCCGATGGCTAAAACCTTGTGGGTTCTTCGCACCCATCCCGCGGACTCCTTCCCAACCCCAGGCCATGCCCCCAGACAGCTGCCATCTCTTTAGGGGACCCTTGGGGACAGGGGGCAGTGCTTCCAGGACAGCCCAGTGATCATCTCCTCGGAGGTGAGTGACCCCCGGCAGCTGCTCCCTGCACGGGTGGGACCTTGCTTCTGGCCAGCGCCTGGAAAATATCTCCGTTTCTGTTGAGAGACCARGAATATGATTTGACCTCACCTCATGGCTTTTCCAGCTGCGCCTGGTTTTTATGGGGGTCGCGGCGAGCTGGATGTGCAATTAGCAAGATAGATTTATTGTCTGCCACGACGCGTCGGAGGATGTGAAAACGGTGTCGGTGGTGCCGAAAGCCCTGGCCGCGGAGGAATGCGTTAATGTGTCTAGCAGGGCTGCGGGAACCGGCATGGGTTTCTGGGCTGTGCCCGGCGTGGTCAGGGGCAGCAGAGCGCACGGCTGCCCCCGAGGGCCCCAGTAGTACACTGTCCACAAAGCCAGGCTGTTCCCGGCTGTCCCACCGGCCCCAGTAATGTCACCCCCGCCCCACAGACACAACCCAGCTTTCCCTGTCCTTCGAGGCTGCCCACCGTGGAGTTCTGTGGCTCCGGAACACCTCACCCTGTCCTGGGCGGGGCCCGGTGACCTTGGGTATGATCTTGGCAGGCGGGTCTCACCACCTGTCCTTGAGCCGAATCAGGGGCTCTCTCAGTAAAGGACACCGCCCAGAGCTCCCTGCTGGCCCATGTCGTTCCCCACTGTCACCCTCTCCAACCCCCACCCTGATCCCAGCCACCTCCACCTCCAGCGTGACCTCCCGTCTGCCCTCCAGCTCTACCCCTGCCCCTACAGAAGGGCCGTCCTCAATGCCAGCCTGGTGACGTCACCCCTTGCTGAAAACCCACGTGGCCTCCAGGGCCTCCTCGGGTGGCCCCTCCAGCCCCGTTTCCTACCACGTGCCCTGAGCGGCTCTCTGTCCTGAACCTGCCAGCCTGTCCTGTCCCCACCGGGTGCCACCGGGGGCCCCCAGAACCAGACCCTGAGACAGCAGTGAGTGCCGTGGTTGATCTGGGAGGATCCCAGGTGTCCCCAGGAAGCAAGGCGGGAGGGAAGGACGTCCAAGCAGGCTGCGTAACTGCTCCGGGCAGCAGGCGAGTCCCAGGAGACCACGGGCCAGTCATGGAACTCCCCTTGGCATCAACCCTCCCGGAAGTGAGGGAGCGGRATAGTCACCTCAAAATCCTTCCCACCGAGGGCTGAGGCCTGCTCCCAAGAAGACCCTAAGGTGGGGAACAGGGGTGCTGAGGTAGAAGGCTTGTGTGTGCAAGATGGCCGCGGCTGGGCTGGGCTGGGGCCCCGCAGTAGAGCGCTCGTCTAGCACGCGGGAGGCGCTGGGTTCAATCCTCGGCACCACGTCAATATGAATAGAATAAAGGCATGTGTCCAGCTGCAACTCTAAAGTCGATTTAAAAAGAATGGTCACAGCTGAGGAGACATGGAAGAGGGGCACGTGGAAGCCTCTGCTGTAATCTAGAATGTTGTTCTAGAATGTTCTTGTATGGATTAAGCCCTACTTATGTTTTTGTTCTTTTTTTATTTTTACTCTTTCTTTCCTTTTTGAGATGGGATGTGCTGCCCAGGCTGGTCTGGAACTCATGGGATCTGTGATCCTTCAGTCTCAGCCTCCCAAGTTGCTGGGACTCTGGTGTGGGCCTCCCTCCCTCCAGGAGACCTCTCCTGACTCTTCCTTCCATCTAAATGGCATCTGTCCATACCCTTGTTTTTCATTTGCGTCTGAAGCGTCCGCCTCCCTTGTAGCCTGTAAGCACCACAAGGGCAGGGAGYGTGGGCCCTTTTTTTATTTTTTTAATCTTCCCAATTCAGCACAGAGCACAGGACAGAATTGCTGAAGAGACCCTTGTCACATGAATGGACTGGAACAACCCCCTAGAACGTCAGGCTGCAGGAGGACAGGGCCACCCCCCTCTTCCTCATTGCTTTTTTTATCTGTAGTGCAGAGAACAGTGCACCCCCTCCGTAGGCGTCCAGTAAATATTGGTGAAATGAAGGAAGGAAGGAAGAAAAGTAGTGTCAAAACAGAAATTCCTAAGTGGTGGCCACCCGCCAAATTCATCTTGCAGATCTTTCTGTTTGGCCCCCAGAGTGTTTGAAAAAAATGTGGATTCATCGCCAACATTCAAAAATCAGGAGATTGCACAGACCAAAACAATCTAGATTCCCAGCTCTTCTTGAAAAATTAGGCCATCCGGCCATCTTGCACTCCCCTGTGACCGCAATCAACAGGAGCCTGCGGCCAGGGCCTCAGAGGGGGGACATCTGTGCTCCAGCCTGCCATGGCCACCCCRGGCCCTCAGACCCAGCCATGGGCCTCTCTGGCCCCCTGGAACCTGAGTGTCGACATCTGTCCTCGGATCGCAAGGCCCACAGAAGGTCAGAACTGGGGAACGGAACAGAACATCACGTCCAGTTAGTCTCCCTCGTCCGTAAGGAGAAATTGAGGCTGAGAAGGGGAAAGATGGTCCAAGAGCAAAGGAGAGTGGGACGCTGCCTTCTTGTGATGTCTGGACGTCTTCACTCCTGTTCTAGAATCTTCCTTCCCCTCCTCCAGCTCTCCATAAGGTGCAAGATGAGCATTTTTATTTGCTAAATCCAGCAACCCAAAATGAGATGCAAAACAACCAGACCAGGTTGACCTTGAACTCATGGGAGGTCCAGGAAGCAGCGGTGCAGGCTGCTGAGTGGCAAAGGGACTGCGGCTCCTTCAGTTCTACTCTCTGCCGTCCCCTGAGCACTGCCAGATGAGTCACGGCCCACCCGCACGTCTGCATCCCCGCCAGGGAGAAAGGGAAGCCACGTGTCGCTCTTGTAAGGGCAAACCCAGAAACGCACAGAGCCTTCCTGCTCATGTCCTACTGGGTAGAACTCGGTCACGTGAACACAGCTGGCTGCAGGAGAGCCTGCGAGGCCCGTCCTTATTGGGGCCACCCAGGTGCCAAGTCAGACTGCAAGAATTCTGCTGCTCTAAGAGTAGAAGACAGGGCACTGCCTAGCCCAACGGACCACATGGTACAGGAAGAATTACGAAAGAGTAAAGCCATGACAAAGAACCAGGTGAGTCCTGTTGACCAGGCGCAGGAGACACCTGGATTTGTGGGCCTGAAACCCCAGAGAGCTGTTCCGGCRTCAGCTCTCACCCTGGAAGTCAAAGACGAGGCGGGGGCTGGCGGGCACAAGACTGTGAGCCCCATTTTGCAGACAGAGTCACTGAGACCCGGGAGGCGCATCGTGGGGACATCCACCACAGAAACACCCACCGCCTCCATGTCCGGCCAGGTTCTCTCTGTGCCTCTCCAGCAGCTGCGCCGTGGGAAGCCGTGGGAAGCCGTGGGAAGCCGTGGGAAGCCCAGGTGGGAGGCAGGACTCTCCGTTGGAAGCCCAGATGCCTCAGCTAAAGGGGAATTTGTCAGATCACAACTGGAGGAACCCAGGGACACTTGGGATTCGGGTCTGGCTGATGGCGTCCAGGAGCTCAGGCGGTCTTCTTGGGCCTGCCTKCCTTCCTTCCTTCTTTCCTTATTTAYTTCTCKCCCTGCGGCGATTTCCCCCCAGCGATGCCAACGAAAAAGAACGCACCTCTGCTGCCCAGATTCCGGCCCCCTCCGAGGCCTGGGTCCCGGGCGGCCCACAGGCCAGCCTCTGAAGCTCAGTTTGGCCGGCCCCGACCAAGAGCCCACTCTGCGGAGGGAGTGGGGAGCTGGGCTGCTCCATCTCACCCRATGGACGAGTGGGAGGGCACCAGCCCAGTGGGAGCCAAAGCGCTCCTGCCAGCAAAGTGAGAGGGCCCTGTGCCCAGGGAATGAGGCCAAGACCCGCCCCCCTTACACACATCATGCCAAGCGCTGGCACCTCGMGGCTTAGGGTCACCACGCCGAGCGCTGGGCGGGGACAGGAGTCGAATCACTTACAGCCCCAGCCAAGGGAGGGTCTGCTGTTCACTTAGGAAAGTAAGGCCAGCAGAGCCGACCGATTAAGCCGTGATTCAAAACYGGGTGTTTGAATCCTGAAACAGAAACTGGGCTCTCCTCCTGGTCCCAATCAGGGACGGGCTGTCGGAGGCAGTCATCTCTGCACTTCCTCCCCACCCCTCGGCCCCAGGCGGAGCCCGAGCAGCCCTYTAGTAACTGTGTCTCCTGGCACCTGGTGGGTGCTCTAGAAATCCCCGGCAGAGAGGAAGGGAGAGGTGGGGGACTCCCCGCGAGCTGGGGACCCCAGCAAGTCTGCCCCGACTCCTCCTGCACCCTGCCTTCCAGGCCGCCCAGTGAGGGTGCCACTCAAGGACAGCTGCTCCCCTTGTCCCTGTCCTTGTTCT